CTTACCAAGACAGCTTTCACAGGTAGAGTCCTCTTACCATCACAGTCAGGGAAAGGAGAATCCTGTTACTTACAGCCACAGCAAACTCCTCTCTTCAGGCCAGAAGCCTCAGCAAAGCTCAGGGTGGCTGATGAGATGGATTTATTTGCTAAAACCCTGTTTGCTGCAAGCCAGACCAATAAAGAGACCTGCTGGAAGTCTCAGCTCTCCAGACCCAGGAGGGCTCTGTTTCCTTTGCCCTGTACTATCTTTACACAAATCTGACTCCAAATGGTTTTTCTAGAGGTCAAACTAACTTCAGCAACATGGATTTGGGCTTGGAAGAGGAAGACAGTAGATAACAGCACGGGCAGAAACATCCTGAGAATCGTTGCAGCTTTTCCTGCAGTGAGCTGATGCTTCCTAAATCTTCATCTTCCTCCTGTCACTGTCCCTTTTCACTCCTCTTCCCCATGCCTTTGTAGTTGGATGCCTGACATATTCTGCTAGTTTCTGCTGCCTTTTAATGAACATCAAAAGAATTAAAATGATGAATTGGAGATCAGGACCCAGAGCAATCGTTCATAGAAGGGAGCACATTAGGCACACCACGGCTCAATAGGAAATACATTCTCCATCTGCCTTTGCTACAGACCTAAGGGCAGGCTTGGCATTGTCTCAAGCAGATATGAAATTGAGACATGGGGTTTTTTATGAGAAAAGACAGGAGTCAGGGAAAATCCTTGTACAGATGAAGGTCTTCCTGAATTAGAGTGATCTGGAGAATGCAGGTCAGGCTTTGGAAGGCAACGGGCAGGCAGGGGGAGCAGAATCCTCTGGCAGCAAATTCAAACAGGGAGATGAACAGAATCCAGCCCCTTCAAAAATGGAAAAGTGGCCACAGTGACTGACAGGGGTGAGACAGGGAACTCGGCAGAGGTGGCAAGGGCTGGACGGACAGAGGGAAGTGTCACCCTCTCCCTTGGAAGGGCACCTTTCTCTGGAGAAAATGCACTTGACAACTAAAAATGCTCTTGCTTAAGTGCTGGACCTTAAACCTTGAGAGAGCTTTTAGAGACACAAACACTTGAAATTCCTGCCTGAAATGGCAACATCTCCAGAGAGATAATAGAGATGGTGAAGGAGTGCTGCCCAAAGGGCCTGGGCAGATGCTGCTGCATCATTTCACAGGAGCCCCTGGAGAGGGAGAGAATAACAACAAGCTTCAGACCCTCTTGGCTAGACATTGCCCAGCACCTGAGGGCACCATTTTTCATTTTCGCAGAAGCCAAATGGCCAAATAAACAAGATAAAGTTAGCTAGACTGCTGATTCTCCTAATCTCAGACACAGAGATTTGTTTGCCCTCTACTCTCCAGAGAAATGTGTTTCCCTCTATGCCATGTTGCTTATACAACCACATATGCTTGGGAAAGAAGTGTCATAATACACGAAATACAAGCTTTTGCTTAAAACCCTCAAATACTGTGCCTGAAGGTCCCTCCAGCTTGTAAGACACCTGATGGGAGCCTCTGGGGACAGCTCCTGCTCTCAACTGCCCTGGCGTGACTCAGAAGAAACTCTTTTGGTCCAGTTAAGTTGGGCAGAGACAAGAGCAAAGTTGTCTCTATTTGTGTTTGGAAGGGGTCTGGTGAACCCAGGGCTTCGTCACCCTCCCTGATGCACACAAAGAATTAATGGATTTGCATCTTCATAAGGGGAAAGAGAAGTGGGCCCACGTTGAGCAGCGATAATGAATTAAACTGAATTAAATTTTGATACATATTAGAGATATGTTAGTTACTATATAAAGTAATATACTTAATTAGCCCAGGAAGTGTGTTAAATATTACATGAGGTTACCAATGAGTTCCTGCAGGAAGCGAGCCAGCTGACATTTGTAGTTCTCCTCACATGAGAACCTGGTGGTAGCTCTGGAGATACCCACGGACTCCACAAATGGGCTTAAACCCTCCCCTCTCATTGCTTAGTGACCCAAACTTTTATCAAGTCTGATGGAGTGCAAAGGAGCCCACTGTGCCACAGCTTGCACCACAGCCCAGAGAAACCCAGCTCATTTCTCTACAGCTGCTCTGTTTTCATCTGCCTGGGAACAGAAGTGGCTTTGATTAGAAATGTTTTAGTCCTTCCCAAATCTCTTTTTGTCGCTCCTAACCCACACTGCTTGCTGCCATTAAGTGTATTAGAAACAAAGGCCAGCCTTGCCTCTTAAACCACTGCCTGATGGAGTACCAAATTTAATGGATACTTTTTCAACAGAGATTTAACATTCACTCCTCCATGTGGCAAAATGCTTCCAGCATGGTTGGTACCAGCTGCACACGGATTTCACATCTTCATATTCAGACCCTGCTGTCTCTCTCTGCAAACATCTATCGGTCTGAACAGCAGATGCCAGCTCAGTCCAGGCTGACAGATGTGGGATGACTTCTGGTTTCATTCCCCGCTGTGCTCTGAAATTCTCATTTTGAAATACAGCACTGAACTGGCCTTGACAAGAGTCAGGTGTTAACTCTGATCAGACACTTACTTCATTACTAATGGCATTACTCATCCTGCTCTGCATTGTTTTCCTCCCCCAGAGTCGTTAAACTCGGCATTTCCCTGCTCACAGAAGTGCTGCTGGATTGAACAGGGATAGAAATGTGACTTCTTGTGGTGACAAGGTGGTTTGTAATTTTAAGGAGCTCATTCCCAAGAAGCAAAAAGCAGTCATGGCAGTTTGAGACAGGTCCAACTATGGAAAGTCTCCCTGTAGTAAAGGATGCATTTTTTAACACTTTGGATTTGCAGGTTACAGCTGGAAATGGAGAGAAAGAACAAAGGAAGGAGAGGAAAGAAGGAAGGAAAATAAAGAAGTGAAAAGGTACAGGACATGTTTTGAGTGCAGATGAACACACACTGTGCCCAGATGGGACAATTCCCCTCCAGAATCTGTGATCCTTCTCAGGGACACTGTGACCCTTCTCAGGGATCCTTCTTTGTGCCATTTGCAGCTCTCAGAACTTGTTGCTTTGGGAGTGGAGATGTTAGCTCCTCCCACCTTTCTGAAAGCTGGCTCACAGGTTATTTGCTAACATTTTCAAGGATTATTCTGGTCATCATTGTCTTCGACATCAAACTCACTCAAATTTGTCCCTTGAAGCATGGTAAAGAAGAGACCTCCTGCCAGCAGCAGAAGCTGTTTTGACACCTGTCTGAGCTGGATGAAGCACATCCAGTGACTGATTTCATCACGTCCCAGCCTGGTCTGGATTGCCACGCTGGTTTTCAGTCCTAATAGCTCCCCAAGCTTTGACAAACAAGTTGTTGTTGGGTTTGTTTTTAAGAGAAATGTATATCAAAGAGTAGCATTTCACTGCAAAGGCATCTCCAGCATGAGAAATGCTCCCCTGGCATTTTCTGTGTTCTACTCATTGGTGGTACATGTGAAATATTTATACTGAAGGTTTGTGCTGTATCTTGGGGGTCTGGCAAAGCAGGAGCTGAAGGGCTCCTTGAAGATTTTGCCTTCAGCCAATCTGGAATCTCTTTTCTCTACCACACTGCCCTTCTCTTCACCCATGTGTGCTGGAAACTTGTGAGGGGATCTCAAAAAAGGGAATTTTCCAAACAGAATAAACATGTCCCATGATGAAAGGCAGAAGAAAAGGAAATAAAACAAAGGTTTCATAGTGACAGATACTTGTGTGAATGCCAGAGGACTTTCAACCCTCATCAGTAAAGACATGAACACAGAGAGATTTTTTAATAATCTCTTTCTTTAAAGTTTGTTTCAGAGACACACTGGCTCCATGGGACAGAAGTAAGCAATGGAAAAACTACAACTTTTGCATATCCTGCTAGTCCTAGGTTTATAGATAGAGAGCTATCTGTGGGCAAGATGGTGCAGGCAAGAGAAGAATTTTTGACTGTGAGGGCAGTCTGGAGGGCAGCTGGAACAGGTTGTCTGGAGGGGTTTTGGAGCCTTCATTCCTGGAGATATTCAAACCCGAACCAGACAAAGCCCTGGACAACCTGCTGTATCTGCTTCAGCAGGGGAGTTGGCCTAGAAAATCTCAAGGGGTCCCTTCCAGCCTGAACCATCCTGTGATCTGCCACCCCCAGCTCCTGCTGCTCAGGAACAACCTCAGAACAAGCAGAAATGAGGCTCAGGAGAGCTTGGAGCTGAGCTACAGCTCAGACCATCCAGAAAGGCTCCACAGGGACTGAGCAGTGCTCAGGAGATCTCCCTGCCCATGGCCTGATGCAGGGTGATCAGAACACCCTATGTGAACTTATATAAGCACTTGTGAGCACATGGGGTACCTACACATGGCATGTGTACTGTGTCAGCCAGGCCCAAACGTGAGCTGTCAGACCATCTGCTTGCATGTCTGAGTGCTCTGCTTTAACTACAGGTTGTGTGATTTTCTTTCCTGAAATATATTAGAAATACACTTGCCCTGTCTGCTGAAGCAAGAGAGAAACATCAGGATCAGGAAACCTGTAGTCTGAGCTCTATCACCTCTTATTTATCTAACAATCCTAGAAATTTACTCTGGATAAACAATACCTGTGATGTGTCCACATTGTATTGTTTCACTTTATAAATTATCTTAGGTGCAAAGTGGGGGGTTTGTTTTCTATCCAAATGGTGCAAATTGAATAATGGCTGACAGCTAACAAACAGCAAACTGCTCCTAGAGATGGGAGCTGCACAGCACACACCCCATCGTCTGGAATTTGTAAACATTTCCATGAACACTAATGCTTGACTGAGTAGCTGGAGATTACAAATAACACCAGATCACGAACAACCACACAGTGAAAGTGGTTCGTGGGTTCATTAAACATCATGGACACCAAAAATTTTTAAAAAATCTCTTTCTCCATCACATCTGTGGTGATCGGTATAAAATTCACGTTCTCTCTGCTGGGCTGGGGTGCAATCCCGGCCCGGGGGTGGGCGGCTCGGTGTGACCCCCCTCGGGCAGTGCTGAGCACACACCAAGCGCCTCGATGCCGCATCCCCAGCGCTCCCACCCGCGGCTCCACGAGCGCACAGTGACATCCTCTGTCGGGATGCGGCAGCAGCCGAGCCTCAGCCACCCGCGGGGAGACCGGCTTGGGGACACTGCTGTGTCCCCAGCGTGCCAGGCAGCTGCCGGCTCGTTGTGCGCACAGCTGGGAGATGCAAGCCCGGCTCTGAGCGCTGTCCCAGCGCTGGGCACGGTGAGGGACGGGATGAGGCTGACTCCTGCCGAGGGCATCCTTTGGTGGGTGCCACAACGACCACACCCTGCGGAAGGGCTGAGAAGTGTTCTCACTTCTCGCTGCCGGCTGCAAGCGATTTAGGGCGATCGCAGAGCTCTCCCAGCAGGAGCAGCCGCCCCCGGCAGGACAGCGGCTGTGGCAGCCTGTTTGAGGAGGAATTCGGTGAGGCTGTAGAAGTTCCTGAGGTGAAAATAGCTTTTGGAGCAATCAGAAGGTGGCAAAACCCCTGGGCCTTAACTGCAGGCTCGTTTCTGGGTTTGCACAGTTTTCTCGGTTTACGTTCTCTCTGTTTCTCGAGTTCCCCAGACAGAAGGGCGCCTGCTCAGGGTCTCCAGCCTGTACCCTCCTCTGTTTTGCAGCTGCTGCTCTGCACATCCCTGCGCTCTTCTCCAGACGTGTGATAGCAGAAGTGTTCCTGCCCCTGTGACAATACCTGTGGGGACGTTTCCTCTCCTGCCACCTGGAGCAGGCACCGTGCACAGGGGTTGTACGGTGGTAACTTCATCCTGCAGAATCACCTGCTGAAACAAGTCCCCAGACAGAAGTTATTCTCTTTGGCTGTGAAGGGTAAACAAGTGGTGGAAGAAGGAAGAGTTAATCACCTTCTTGGAGCTGGGGCTGGGGGCCCCAAGGACTCCTTGGTTTGCAGACCAAGAATTGCCTGCACCCCAGCAGCTTTATCTCTTCCCCTGCTGCCCACGAGGAGCAGAGACAAGATCATCACCCTCTGTGTTCCTCCTGCCCAGGGAGCCCTCCTGGCTGATTAAAAGGCAAATGAAGTTCTGACTTCAGTTCTGTTTATTAAGGCACAGACACCACGGCAGGAGCAATAAACTCATGGTGGACACTTTGGAGAGATGCAGGAATGTTGCTGTGCAGCATGCAAGGATGCTCTGGGAGAATACAAGAATGCTTCTGAGCTGAGAGGGGAAAGAGGAATGTAGAGATGTTCTAGGGGGTGGCAAGGATTCTTTGAGGTAATGCAGTGATGCTCCAGGGTTGAGAAGGGAAGGGAAATTGGAGAAGATGCTCTGGGGCAGGGGGATCAGGGATGCTCCGGGGTTACGCAAGGATGCTACCAGGTTGAGAGGGGAATGTGTGGATCCTCAGGGACGCCCCGGAGGAACGAAGGGATGCTCTGGGTAGTACAAAGATGCTCCCGTGCCGAGAAGGTACGCGGCAATGTGCAGCGATGCTCAGGGCTGCTCTCGTGGGATGCAGAGGTGCTCGGGCGGATTTAGGGATGCTCCGGGAGTCTCGGGGCAGCTCGGGGGGTACGCGAGGGCGCTGGGGGCCGGAGCGGGGGGCGGGACGGGCAGCGCCCCCGGGGCTCCGCCGGCCCGGCTGCTCCCCGCTCCTGCCCCGACACCCTCCCGCAGTCCCGGTCCCCTCCCGCTGTCCCCCGGCCGCTCCCTCCGGCCGGACCCCGCGGTCCCCCGGGGCAGAGCCCGGCTCTCACCGGGAACGGGCCCTTCCGCTTGCAGGTGCCTTCTGCATCCCCCTCTACGTGCCCTATGTGCTGACGGGGAGATGGATCTTCGGGAGAAGCCTCTGCAAACTCTGGCTGGTGGTTGATTACTTGCTGTGCACCTCTTCGGTCTTCAACATCGTACTAATTAGCTACGACAGGTTCCTCTCGGTGACAAGAGCGGTGAGTCCTGTCATGGCAGCTGAGAGGGACATAACTCTCCTCCTGATTATTCTCCAGATTGTCTGCAATACTTAAAAGTTCTTTGAATCCTCATGAAATTATGAATCTTTCAGCCTGGAAGGCAATAATCATCCACAAATGCATAATTCAGCTGTGGTTTCAGATTAGTATTCCTGGCATAATTAAATCACGTAAGGCTCAGTCCCCGTTGTGCAGGTGTTCCCTTCCCAGGTGACAGGATTGTAGTGTACAAGCAAGCCAGCCAGGGAAGCAGACTTTAAACTAGCAACAGCTTATTATCCTCAGGACAAACAAGTGAATTGCAGTCAGACTCGCAGCTTCATGGCAGTAGGTTGCACTGCCAGCTTTGGCAGGGAATGTGGAGAGATCTCTGAGAGTGTGGGAGATCAAAATGCTCAGCCTTTTGCAGGAGGTAACGAGCAGCTCACAGGCAGATCTGACCCACTGCTGTTTGCTCATTCCCTGACTACAAATACAGCACGGATTTAGCCCAGGAGTTTGTCAAGTCCCTCTCCTTGGGACTTTCAGGGAGTAGCTGGGGGCAACTCAGGTAAGTGGTGGGTGCAGACAGCTGTCAGGCTCCAGCCAAATCAGTACATTTCCACTAAGCAGACACCATATTTTGGAGCTGTAAAATGAGTGTTCTAAATTTTCCCTGTAAGAGTGTGATTTATCTAGCAATTGCTCCTGTTGCCTATGGCATATCAATTTGTTGGACTGCTGGGGTATTGCCTAGCAACTTTACCAGGAATGCTAATAGTCCATTTGTGAGGAGCCTCAGCCAGCTGGGGTGTGGGACTGGGTGTAAGAAAAGACTTTCCTCTTGCAGGTCGCCTACAGAGCCCAGCAAGGCAACACCAGGCAGGCAGTGCTGAAGATGGTGATGGTGTGGGTGTTGGCATTCCTGCTGTACGGACCTGCCATTATCAGCTGGGAGTACATATCAGGCCAGAGCATCATCCCCAGTGGGGAATGCTATGCTGAGTTCTTCTACAACTGGTATTTCCTCATGACAGCCTCCACGCTGGAGTTTTTCACCCCTTTCATCAGCGTGATGTTTTTCAACCTGAGCATTTACCTGAACATCCAGAAGCGCACCAAAATGCGCCTGGATGTTTTCCACGAAGTGCACAACCAGTCCTTCACTGAAGAGGTGGAAAGGAGCCCAGAAGCAAAGCTTTCTTTGAAATGCTGTAAGTGGGAGCAGAAGGAGTCAGCTGAAACCCTCGACCTCTCTAAGAGCAAAGCTCAAGCAGCAGCCTCCACCTCCAGCCTGGATGCCAAAGACCTGCTGGAAACAGAGAGCTCCAGGGAACCCAAGTGTTGCAACAAAAAGAGCTGCAAAACTTCAGCCTCCACTCTGTCCTCAGACAAACGGGTGAAGATCGTGTCCCAGAGCACGACTCAACGCTTCAGGCTCTCCAGAGACAAGAAAGTGGCCAAATCACTGGCAATCATTGTGGGCATTTTTGGGATTTGCTGGGCACCGTACACTCTCCTGATGATCATCCGCGCCGGCTGCCACGGCCAGTGCATCTCTGAGTTCTGGTATGAGACTTCTTTTTGGCTGCTGTGGATCAACTCAGCTGTCAACCCTGTCCTATACCCCCTCTGCCACTCCAGCTTCAGAAGGGCTTTTATTAAACTCCTTTGCCCCAAGAAGCTGAAGATTCAGCCTCACTATGCCCTTCAGAACTACTGAAGGTGAAGCCAGCCCAGTGTGAGCATGAGAAAAGCCTTGGTTTACTTCTGCTGTACTGGTGTGGGACAGGAGCTGGCTTCCTTGGAAGAACCCAGGAGCAGTGGTGTGGGGCAGGTGAGGAAGGCAGAAGAGAGCCCACTATTAATTTATTTTAGTTCATCAACAACAAAATCCCACCGCAGAGAAGGATAAAGGGGTTTATTGACATTAACCACGGGTAGTGAAATCTGTGTCTGCCACTTGCAGGTGCCACAAAAGAGCTCTGCTGCCACCTAGTCAACCTGAGCAGCACCAGCATTTTGCTCCAATAAACTGAAAACTGAAAAGAAAAAGCTAATAAAAATAAATATCTGGCTTAAACTACTGTGCTAAACTACAGCTTAGCTGTGGGCAGACCTAATCTTCATAAATGGGGGAGTTTTTTCCTCACACCTATTACACATAGATGATGACACAGAAAGAAAAGAACAAATCTCAGAAGGAAAACATCTCATTTATCATTTTTGTTACAGCAGCTGCAGCCATAATCTGGGTCCCTGTTTCATGGGGTGCAATAGATGTCCCTTCCACACCCCAGGAAGGGACAGATCTCTGCCCTAAGGAGTTTACAGCCAGGCTCTGAGGCATTGAGCATCGTGCTGTTGGCATTGCTTGATCCCTCCCTGCTTCAAAACTGCTCTGATTTCCTCTGGGTCCTGCCAGTGCCCCCGTGGGAGTGCTTCCCTCCTGGCCAGAGCCATGCAGCAGGAACCAGCCCTGGAAGGGCCCTGGAAAAGGATTCTGTGCCCATGTGAAAGGTGCCAGCACAGCGCCAGCTCCTCCACAGACTCCATCCTCACAACCCAAAGACATCTTCAAACATCTTCTGCAGGATTTTAAAGATATGCTTCTGGCACTGTGTCAGGGAATGACAAGCTCAGATAGAAGCAAATCTTGTGGGTTTTTTTTTTTTTTTTTAAATATTCCTTTTTAAAATGTTCCTTTCAGACCTCTTCAATTTTTCAAGAACTCTTGCATTCTTTCTTTTAAAATGCCTCACTTCATTGGAGACCTGGCTTGAGCTTGTTCAGTCAACACAAACATCAATTCTTTTACTATCTAATTTAATTTTTTTTAGAGCTGTCAACTAATTACACAGATAGAGCACAAAATTCAAGAGACCAGGGCTCTAGCCTTGGTCTTACCATAAAATCCTGGTAATTTTACTCTGCCTCCCATCTCGTGCTTCATCACAGTTGACCATTTGTTCTGCAGCCTCTTTGGGCACAGAGGCAGTATGACCAAAAAGCAGATTAATTCCACTGCTGGCACTGCTCAGAGATGTAGTAACACAAATAAGTAATTAGTTGCCATGGCAAATGCTCGTATTTAACAGTATTACACAGGGGAGCTCAAGTTCCTAACTCTGAAAACAACACTTACAAATAGAAACCCAAATGTTGTAAAGCAGTACCCCAAAAGCTTATGATGTTGTGATTGCCAATTACATTTTTCTGCTGCAAGCAAACTGCTTTTGGCTGCTGCTAAAAGTGAAAAGAAAATGCCATCCGACTGTATCTCAGTGATATTTGTCAAGTAGATCAGTATTGTCACCTGAAGTCAGGTTTTAAATGATGTCTTGTCTGGTGTATGTGATATTTCAGACTTGTGACAAGTTCTGTCAGTCTGTTATATATGGGTTAAAATTCACCCCTCCAAGTACCTGTGCTGTGAATTGACAGGGTAAATGTTGAGCCTGCTCATACCTTTCCCTGTGTCTGCTCCCTTCTGAAAACTTCAATAAAGTATTTTTACAAGAAGCTTGCTGAATATTTTGTGGTGAAAAAGGTGTTGTCAGAAGTGATAAAATGCAACTGTAAGCAAAACAGCCATGGGTTTACCTGAGGAAGCAAATATACATGTCACAGAAAAACCAGCTCCTGAAAGAGCTGAGCTTCTCTTACCTCTGGTGAGCAGGCTCCTGGCAGCCCCCTGAGGGTGTGGTGAGTGCACATCACTCAGTTCTCTGGTCTTTTCCAGAGCATGTCACATGCAGTTGGGATCTGGAGAGGTTACATCGGCAATAACTCTTCCTATAACTCACAAACCTCAATGGTTTACTTAAAAATGACAGAGCCATAACGTGCCCAAGGCACCAGTTTCCAGCTGTAGTTCTCTTCAGTTGTTCATCAGGAGAGCTAGAACTACTAGATCATTCATTCTGATTAAAAAAGGTGCCTGGTGTGACCCCTTCCTTTCCCAGAGGGAAGAAAAGAACGTGTTTCCTTGTGAGCCTTTTGCACAGTATTTTCATGGTCTCTGACCTCCATGTGGGCAGAATTATCTGCACTTGGCTGAAAGTAATTTTATTCATTGTTGGATATTGCAGGGAAGATACTTATATTCCTTCCTGAAATAAGAGATCTTGCTTTTCCAGATAAAAAGGAAAAATAACTATTTATGCTTGGACATGGGGTCACACCTGAGCCTGGTTTTCGTACTGAAAATGTTGGGAGATGCTCTGAAGTTTCAGAGTAGCTGATGACTAATTCAAATATGCTTAAAAGAGTATTTGAATTCTGCTGATTTTCAGTGTTCAGAATATAAATGTCTATATGCATTTGGAAGAGGGAGCGACTGGGGAGCTTCTAGGCATAATCCAATATGAATTATGAAAATGCAGAACCACTGGGTAAGGCAGGGGTCCTTGTCATCCAGCCCAGCAAAACACCTGTGTATCATTTATTTTTAGAGGCTAAAAAATTGCCTCTTTCCTGTTGTCTAGTCATAAGTTAAGCAAGCAGGACCTGTTTGCAACAGCCATGAAGGAAAAGTTGCTGTAATTATGAATATGATTGAAATATTTGGGGAAGCACAGAGGCTTCATTTCCACAGAGAAAAGAAACCTGGCTAATTCCAGAGAGAAGCATCCAATTTATGCAGGGAGTGTTGGAAAACAGCATTCACACAGCTGCAAGTCATGCCAGGGAGCTTTTTTGGATAAGTGACTTCCCACAGGAGCAGAGTGGAGGTGATGCCAGTTCCCCTCTGTTGGTACAAATCTCCACTCCATTAACTCGAGGACATAAAGGCTGCCCTAACGAGGTCTGTGGTCTTTTCCTACAGCAGCATCTGCATATCAATCAACTATCAAAAAACATTTTTTATTTTAGCACAGCTACTTTCTTTCTGTCTCTCTAAATGCTTCCTCCCTAATCACCAGTAATGAGAGATCTCTTTACACAGGCAGAGGAACTTTGCTCCACAGCCTCTCCTCCAGCCCTTCCTCAATTACCATCCCTTATTTTTTCTCTCCAACCTGTAGTTACAGAAATTGCTCCATTGTTCCACAGACATCACTGAAGCTTCATTAGCTCAAGTAGGAGGCTGGGGAAGAAGAGAGAATGCAAGGAGCTTTTGTGGAAAAACACCTGTCTGTGATAATTAATGAGATTTTCTGGGAGGGAAGGGCTTTGGAAGTAGCAAGATGTGATTATATTTTGATTTGAAAGAATGCTAATGGTTTGTAAATGACCATTCATTTTCATAGCAGAACTAGGATGGAAAGACCAGGGGTTAACATCCTTGCCAGAAAGAACTTTGACAACACGATTTCTGTGAGGGAGGATTGATTTTTCACAGCACCATCTGTGGAGCAGTGACACCAGCACAACTTTGCAGTACAGACCTGGTCCTGCACTCTACAGAGCTTGTTCTGCAAACAGATGAGGCACAGTAAGGAGTATTGTTATCTTTCCTTCTGAAGTGAGAATTGCAGACAAGAATAAAAACTCTGCGAGCTGCCCTGGATGAGTGCCACAAAAGAGAAAAGCTCTCTCAATTTCTGACATCACAAAGCCAGCCTTTCATGCACGATTGCACAGATGTTCCTGTGGACAGTAGGGAACCCACAGCACTTCTCTGTCCCCTCAACCTTTAAGTCTCCTCCTTTCCTCCTTAAAACAATTTTCTGTCAATATAGTTGCACTTGCAGGTTTAAGGAATTATGGGGGTTTAGAAAAGCAATTAGGAATTCTGCAGGGTGAAAGGTCTTACTTATAATCCAGCACCACCATTTACTGAGATTTAAAACTCTTGCTGGTATTTACTTCAACAAACCCACCACTACCTGAGGGAGGAACACTTGTGAGCACCTCAAAGGCAAAAAAACCCCAGCTCTGTCCCTGCACCTCCTGTTGCAAGCTCAGGAATGTCAATGACTCGTTCAATCAGCTCCATTTTTATTGCTAAGGATGCACAAGCATTACTTATTTACAAGCCCCACACTTTTACTCCATCATTTGCAATGTGCTTGCACAGTCTGGGTGCAAAAGGGAGCTAATACTTAATTCAACATATATGAATTAACCAAGCACCAAACAGCATAGGTAGAGCTATGTCTGAACCTCTGTGGGGGAAGAACAAGACTATTTTTTTTTCCATTTTTAAAGTGCTATTACCTGATTTTTTTTTTTTTTAAATGATTTAGAGGCACTAAGTGAAACATAAACTTTGGTTGGGTTGTAAAGGTTTCATGGCAAAACTGGAGTTTTCTCTATGTAAAATTGGAGTTTTCTCTATGCAGACTGGACCCACACCTTAAACATCTGTTCTTTTGTCTTGCTTTGGAAAGACAAGTGCCTGCTAAGGAAGGCAGGAGCCTCCCCTGAAATGGAAAATGTAAACCCCCTCCCTCCAAACTGCTATAAATTTGAAATTAAGGAGCTCTCAGGCAGAAATATGGGTGCAGGAATAACATTTGTTTATTAGGGAAGAAAATTAAAAGATAAAATGAACAATGCAGTAAACTAAAACAACACTGACAGAGTCAGAACACAGCCTGGCACCCTGTGCGTCAGGGTGTTGCTAGCAGTCCCATTGGAATTGTGGCTGCAGCCCTCCTGGAGTGTCAGGGGTGGTTCTGCTGGAGCAGGGATCCTGTAGAAGGGTGGTCTCTTCCTCTGAAGATCCAGTGCAAGAGGCAGCAGCTGTTCCTCTGGGAAATCCAGTGGAGAAGCCGT